CAATTGTATGACCCACGCCAGCGGGATTGGTGCTGATTACAGTGCAATTGTATGAACCACGCTGGACCTATAGCCTGTTTATAATTTGACTCAGATCGGATCTGGGTATCAAAGTAGTTTTACCTTTCGGCGAGGTCGTGTCATGACGTAACTAGACAGGCTTCAAATGGAAGTTTTTTAGAGAAGGCTTACACCCAAGGGGGGCACTTATATTATTTATATACGGGTAGGCGTGGCACGAGCATTTAGTAAAAATCACGGTCCAGAGGCAAGGTCCCTCAAAACCCCATCTCTTGAAACCATCCCAGTAACGACAAAGCAAAAAGAGAATAAAACAACATTCAATACGTTTCTTATATATTTTTGTAAAATATCCCATAAATAAACTGGGGAAGGAAAACTATACATTTTATAAATTAACAAGCTTAGTATAATAACTGAAGCCCTTGACTAACGAGTGCGAGTATAGGAATTTTCGGTACCTGAAATTGTATATTGTTGGTCATGTCGTAGCGGAGTTGGTCAACCCAGCGAATTTGACATAGCCAGTAGAGTTCACGAATTGAAGTGTAGAACTCTACCTTCAACATTGTATCACCAGGCTTCCTTCCAAGTTTGATTTCAGACCTTTCAGACTTTGATGTTAAACGCTGAGTTCGGCTATGTAGTCTGTAGATTCGCTTATCAGATTTAATTGTCCCTCAAGGCGTGGACCCTATTCACTGGGCAAAAACATAGACAGCAAAAACCTTGTGGAAAAACGGCATCCAATACGAGACGCCGTTTGTAAACTAACCAATTTACATGATATAACCATTTTATATATAGTTTTGTGAAAAATACCTTCTACAATATTCAAAATACATATATATATATATATATATGCTCTAATCGACAATTTCATGAACATTGTCAACATAAATACCATCAAAGTCAGCTATAGTTTGTATAAAAAATATAAAAGATACAATTAACTGTAAAAATAAACGCCAACTTGTGACCAATAAGAACATTATGGCAGACAACACGAAAGTAAATAAGTAATTGTAAGAAGGAAAGGCAATGCCTACTGTGTTTACAGCCTATAAGCGATTAGACAACAAAACCAGCGAAATATATGCCGGACTCACTGGAAATGAATTTAAAACCATACAGAAACCACACGGCTCTTTTCGTAATCAGGCCTTTAGAAATGCGACAGAACTAAGTAATAGTATTGAGCATAGAATAATTCTTGCTCATGGTAGCCCATACAATATCACTTTCAAATGCTGCATTTTAAGTTTGAAGACAAAATCTATCATAATTTTTAGACCCCACCACTCCACACTGGACAATGAGCCCGTGTCATCATGCTGACACAGATCAATGGCACTTTTATACAATTTTAAATGGTATGTTAATTTGTGAAGTTTATGATGTATGCTCGTTGGTGCAGTGAATTATTAAAGTACGTGAAGCTCCTGGTGAATGAAGTACTTGTATCTTACGAAACAGTGCTGTCTCAGTATTCATGTAGTTTTGTCTTAGTTACTCTATCGCCGTATATATTGACAGTGTACACAGTTTGTAGAAATAAATATATACATTGGTAGTTGATATTTAAAAAAAGAATATTTGTACAGTCTGTTAATTTAAGTAACAATAGCATTGGCTTGACAATATACCTGCATATACACATCATATTGTAAAATGCATAGAAAAGCTAGTCATAGTAGTATATAAATGTGGTTAGCAGAAATAATATATATATATGTAGTCATGACATACACATTATATGTACTACATGGTTTGGAGAATTCTGTATACGTAGAAGCGTCTAGTAGGAAAAATATACATCTCCTTTGTTTAAATAAATATTATATACATAGTGTTTGCTTTGACATTATGTACTGTCTCATCTGAAACTGCATGTATAGGTATGGTGTGGAAATTCAATGAGGTGTGGTATACGTATACATGCTTTGCTTACATGAAAACAAGATGGCTGGAATAGGAAATTAAACATATGCGATTGGTTTTGTTTTGTTACGAAATTGGGAGAATATACATATGTGGTCGGATTAGAAATATATATCCAGTGTAAATTGTTTAAAAAAAATAGTTATACAGAAAGATGTGGTTGGACACATTTTATTTTATTTACTGGGTGTTAGTGTAGTCTAAATACTCACAGGGCTCGATTCGACGAAATGCATAGCGGACCGGTTAGAAAAATAAACATGCTCAGATTGAGCGCACGCAGTTTGGTTAGACACATACATACACGGTATGGTACGTTGAAATGCACGAAGAACTGTTAGAAAAATATACAAGCTCAGATGAGGCGAACATTTTTGTGCAAAGATTCTACATGTTTGGAAACATACATCCAGCTGATGTACGAAGAGTCTGCCGAAGAAATAACTTTCGCATAGAGGGTTCTCTTAGTCGATACTGCCTCCATAGTCTTTCGCGCGAAACACTGACGGAGTTGGAGTTTGGCGAGTCCTTGGAGTGGAGTAAACTGTATTATCCCGAATATCGAATTCGATGCATCTACAAATAAGGAATATTGATATTAATTATTGCGTGCATATTCATGACCATACACCAGAAACTGGAAATCGCGGACTTACTGGATTAGTACAAATTGGCGGACGGCGCTTTACCAATTTACCAAATTATTAAGAACGTTTAAATGTCTCGAAAAGAATTAAAATAATTACTCAACAAAATAAACACTAACTAACAAAACTCACAACAATTTACGAACAATAACGAATAATATACGAACAATAACAACAAATACAATTATAATGTGACCAATGTTCATGTAATACATTAGTTTTATGATTGAATGTTCCTTATTAATTACCTCTTGTGTGACAAAAGTTCACGGTACACAACCTTGTTATCTATTTGAAATTATTGTATTTAACAAAAACAAAAGTTTTACTGAGTTTACTTGTGATGGCGTATTTCACAACGTGTGGGTTTCTCTGTGATGACATTTAACCCCATTTGCCATCTTTTGTGTGCTCTAGGTGAGTGGTATATGTCATCCTTATGAATTAAGTTAATCAAAATAGTAATTCTTGACATGCCACTAGTTGGCCTACCTGTACGAGTTGATAATATGTTTCTCTTTGTTGACATTTTTGGAATTTGTTGATCATTCTTTTGCACCTTTTGAGATCGATAAAAATGTTGAAAAATTTATATAAAGCATTACTGGGGTAAGACGTCCATATTTAAGAATTCCGTTCGATATTTTGTCTTCAACCATTGTTACATTCATCACCCATATATTTATTCAGTGAAATCCAGAGACGTCATCTAATTCACGTAGCCCGACCCCACCTATTTGTATATATAGTGTTAAATGCGCCGAATTCGGGGCTATCAATTCTACCTCTGGGCTGTTAGCATTTTACACTACGAGAATAATTAAACACATAATTACATCTTTTGTGCACACAAAAAACAATAATATTTCGCTGTCTGCCTTAACTGTGATTAATAAACTAGTAGATCTTACTATCTATTGCAATGAAAAAAATATTCCACAAATGACTTTAATAATAATAATAATAATAATAACTTTATAATAATAACACAAAAATGAATACAAAAGACAAATAAAATAAGACACACTAAAATTAAAATACACTGAAATTCAACAAAGAAAGAAATACAAATTAGAAAATCTCTGAAAAATTGATTAAACAAAAGCAAGGTTCTCCCAGACTACAGTTACATATTTATCTTTTAGAAAATTGTATTTTTTAAATAATATGACAAAGCCATATTATTTCCCATTATTTTCACAAAGCTTTCCATTCTGGACAAGTCATTAATTTTTATTTTAAAATACTCCAAGACATGTTTTCTCTCTACTTCATAGAAATTGCAATCTAAGATGAAATGCATTTCATCTTCATTTTTTGCACGTTCTTTCATTTTCTTGGGTTTTTGGTTTACTCTTCCTTCCCAATTCAATTTCAAGGTTGTGGTCACTGAGCCTAAACTTTACTAAAACTCTACGTTGGCTGAAGTTTTTCATTTCATTTAGATAGTTTTCTAATTCAAATTTTTGTTTAAATATACTATATGTTCTAAGTTTGTTCCTCTCTTTTTTATTTATTTGTTTTCTCCATGATTTCTCCATTTGATAGCTTTGTTTTTACAACATTAGTTAGTTGATTAATATTATTGATCTTGTTAGTTTCTTTTATTTTAGACAAGTTTTTTTCTCCAAAAATTGTTTTTATTTGAGTAATCCAGGTAGAATTATTTTGTATTTCCTTTAATGCACATTTTAATATGTGATTTTCAGGAAGCAAATTTATTCTGTAATATATGCAACGACAAATTTAACTGAGATTATCGACTTCATCTTTTCAACAAATATTTGTTGGTCCTAAATTATATTATAACACATCACTCGTTAATACTGTACTGCAATTGGTCAAAACATGATCACGTGTTATCGGCTAAATTACCATAGTAGCGCCAGGCAAACTACTAGTTTCCTAGGGAGACAAGTACATCAACTGGTGCCCGGGGGATGATGTCACTCGTCACCTGGTCGTGTGATTTCCAATATGTCGTCTGCTAGTTCGGTCGCTGATATCGATGGTCCGCCTCGAAAGACTGGACGATTTAGCTTCAGTTCAGAAGAAGAACTTGACGCACTAGTAGAAAATAAAGATGCACAGAAAAACGAAGGACGCAATCAGGTTTTCTAGAAGCGTCTTTACATAGTTGTGTGAAGAAATCGGGACACCGCTAGCAGACGTCGAGAAGAAGACATGCAGTGTGTTTACCATTACTGGTACAGTAAGAACGTGTAATGTGTTATAAAACACATATTGCATGATCTCATTCGGGCACTAGTATAAGTCTATTTCCCCGAGGGGTTAAGAGGTACCAACAATACCTGCTATTTCACCAGGTCGCAGGCCCTCATGGCCATGCAATATGTGCTTAAAAATATAAGTTCGTTTATGGTTATGGCGAGTGTATATGATGATTGATTTATAGGCATAATATACACCTGGACATGTATATTTTTATACAAAGCCTATCGTTATTTATCCACTTTAGAATAGCTAACATTATATATTGCACTTTGTCTTCTGGTGTACTCATGTATTGATTCATAATGACAGATATAATACAGGACTACAAAGTACAAGTTTTCGCACTTTATCAATATTTTTTCTAACTTGTAAGGTAGTTCATATAGTAACTGAATTGACGGGAGTGTGTACATT